TACGAAGGCTCGCATTCTATTCGTCACCGTAACATGACTTCATATTTAATTTAATGACTCTCCAGCCAATCATAAAACTCGGTTAGTAAAAATTATCCAATACGAACCGCCAATTCTTCAGTCCACGTGGACTAATTCGTAGCGGCATTATTTCTTTGTATTGGTTTTTTTGGCCCTTGAGTTCGCCGATAGCTTTAAGAATTACTATATCAGTTACTTCGACCATACCAACATTGATTAAGTAACACAAATTATGAAATTATGGAACAACAACAAAAATTAATTAGCGCTCCGGGGCGACTTGATTGATTCCAGTTGCGCATTTGCTTTTTCAGCTGCAGGAAATCCCGGAAAAACTTGCATCACCACATCATCTGAGGACCTTGATCTGTCAGTCTTCTTTTCCATAGAATAAAATGTAGGTTGTCTCCAGAGGCTCCAATAAACTCAAGATATCGCCAGAATATTTAGTGACACGACTATCGCCAAACTTAAACCAGTCCGTTTCGTCTTTAACCAATGAGTAATAATGACCAGATTCAACGCCAGAACCACAGTGTTCATCTATTTCGAACCTTCCGTCAGAGGTTGAGTTATAGTTAAAAATCATCAGTGTTATTATTAGATTGACTGGTACCTCAGCTATTCTTGTTGTCTTATAATAAATAGTCAGTTATTTTGGCGATTATTTGGCAATATAGTTGATCATCGCCCGTTTAGAGTTCTATTTTCAGATAATTTAACAATAAGCTTTGCAGAGACTAGTTATCAGTCATATTAGGAAACGCTAGTTGAAGTTCCAGAAAGTCACATATGTTTTTGTTACATTTTGACCATGTACTACAAAGTAGGTAAACAAATGAGGATTTTTCCAGCAAAAGATTTACAAACACAAGACGAGATTTAATGTACGGAATCATTCAATACAGAGCGGCCTGGAGTTTGGATTCTGCTATTTTGCTGCTCACGAAGAGTATTCAACAAGAACTTCAAGAATTCGGAACAATAAACTTTGCATCTATGTTTATATTGGAATCGATACGTGGGCGCATCTTTTCGTTTTTGCAGTTTTTAGATTTCTTTGTCGAAGAGTGCATGTTTTCAGTCCTGATGACGCTTCGGACGCAACGGAAGAAGTATATAATTCACTTTGCGTATCACAGCAAGGATTTTTTTAGACATCGGCCCAAAATACACACAGTGATGAAGTGTTGATAATTGTGTGTATGTTGATCAAAGTCTATTTCCATTTGAATTACCCGTGGATTCATTAGACTGGCCGTAATATAGATCATCATATTACGAATTCAAGTTGGGTGGTGAGATTCCCGTCGTGAAGAGTGTTACTGTTCTGATGTATGTGTGAACTTTTTTTTTGGTGAATTAATTCCATCATCGAAGAAGATTCAGGATCATCTTATTCGCTTCTTCAGGGGCAACAATTACAAGATTTGATTCAGAATATTCCTCTCCAACCAGCAACCATCGAATTTCACTCATATACTCAGGATATTTTCATGCCAGATGGGAAGATTGAAGTTAACTTTTGGTACAGTAACGTCCAAATAAAAAAAGAGGTTTATATTGTGCTGCTTTTTTTGGTGGAGTTTGGATTCAACGCCTCAAGATAATTTTGAATCAACAAATCCAACAAAGAACTTCAGTATCCTCTAACAGATCCAACCTGTAGAGGGTAGAGGACCGGAGCACAAAATATCCAAACGTTTTCGAAGAGAAAAAATTACGTGTTTTCTCCCGGTTCAGTGTTTCAAGTGAGGGTGTACAATCATGTTTCCATCGTGAATATGAAATTCCCTACGCACTCAGTCTACATTTGAAAAAAGTTGGATGCACTTGAAACTGCAGGTATCAAAACGAAAATAACGATATCGGACCAAAATCAGATTCGCATTCGTTTCAAGGTCCTTGACTTCTGCAGAACAACGTTACCCTCAACTCGATAGAGAAGCCTCGGCCATCATTTTTTCTGTGGATCTATTTTATCAATATTTGTTTGCAGGCCAATTCACTCTCATTACGAATAAACAACCGCATTTAAAAAATTTCATTAAAACCCAAAGATCCCCAAAATTACTTCAGCCCGACTTCAAAGTCACGCATCATTCTTGTCTGGATTCAATTACACATCATCCTTCATCAGTTTCATCAAACCTTCATATGAATTCAGTAAGTAATAAGGAAGTTCATCATTTGTATAATTCGAACATTTCACATCAGCACTGACTTATGGAAACGCAAAAAAAGGAAACACTCAAGAATGAAACACTGTCAGCTCTTTTGGACGATCTCAAACAGGAATCTAATTGTAGCTCTGTCGAACTTCAGCTACATTACATCCTTGGATGAAACCAAAAAATAATTGGCAGCTAATACATATCGATTATGCAGGGCTGTAATCATCATTTTCTTATCATTATCGACACAAACTAAATCCAAATGGGCTGATATTGTTTCACTGCAACAGCTTAAATTTCATCTTCAATTTAGATATTTCAAGATATAGTTGCTCCTAGTGGTTTTCCCGATATGGCTTGCAATAATGCAGGTATTTTTCAAAAATTTATCGCAACAGGATATCCAGCTACAAATGGATTAGCTGAACAAAATGTTCAAACCCTCAAACACATACTTGCTGCTATGACTAACAAACCTTTTGCCATGCGACAAAAAGTTTTCGTTACCCAGCAACACCACTGTCTAATGGGAAGACACGACCAGAGCTATTTCTCAATCGACAGATTCGTATCACGCTGGACGCTTTGACACCAGTTCATCATAAGTTCAAGCGAGGTACTATACCACTATCAGATAAGGTGGACCAACTTGCCAGAGTACCTAAATGTGTCTTTTTTGCACCTGAAGTAGAAGTTACTTATCAAGATCAATCAAAACAGCCTGATATAACTGATTTGGCGACGATTCAAGTGCAAGATGAACAGGCTAACCAATCAGATAGTATTCAAAACGGGGTATTTGAACCAGATCAAGTGGAAGTACCTGTTAATCAAACACGTCACCGACCACCCAACATAGCAGAGTTGAGATCAGGTCGCCCTGTTAAACTTTCATCGCTCCTTAATGATTATGTTGTTGAACACACAATCTCCCACGCCCGTTGGAAATTGTGTTGTATTACATATATTCATGTATTTGGGACACTTTATATTCGTTATTCTGCAAGTTATCAAGTTATCAAAAAAATGTCAATCATTAAACTCGAGATAGAACGTCACATATTCATTCACAAAGTGTTGTATTCTCTTGAATCAGATCACATAACCACTCATTCACAACAGGTAGGTACCCAATTTCGGATCTATTTTTCAAATTCTTTTTTCTTTTGGTCTCTCGTTTTTTTTACAACTTGATAGTCATCTCACCTCAATAACACTTTTGAACTCAACTATCATGATTACTTCACTAGACCTGTTTTCTATTCACTTTTAACTGATTTGGTGTCTGACACTAAATTAATTTTCTCACGCAACCCTCAAATTCATCCAACCGTTCGAAGCCACTATTAACTTCCAGTAAATCATATTATATTTAACTTTTCAAAAAACATTCACTGATGAACTTCCCGCGTGGACCATAAAATTGCACCAAGGTAGGTTAGTGCCACCTAGTAGTGAATAGACGCACTGAAATGATTGCTCACGACCTACGCACGTAGTGCAACATGGACCGATTTTTCTTCAAAGGAATACTCGAAGGAACATCACCGCATGGTGGCGATACAAAAAATTCTTGAAAACAAAAAAAATCAAATTTCAACAAAACTATCACGGAAAACATGTTATGAAAGAAATCTGGCGAAAATAATGCATTATTTGAAAAATTATTCAAGAACAATAGTCCATTACGAAGGAGTTGTCAGAGACAAATATGTGATACATGTGAAGGTAGATTATTTGATCGATCGAGTAATGTGGACGAATGAAGTGTGCCGTTATAAAAGAGATCAGCATTTTATATTCAATTATCATGAGAAAACGGATAACACTCATTGAGAAAATTAAACAAACCACTTTCCAGATTTATGCCTAATTCGTCCTGATCAGTATGGTACAGCCAAGAGTAAGAACACTTGCTACGAAGAAGAGGCAAAATACGTCAGAAGACACTCGTTGTCCCAACTCCATATTTACCTGAAAATTAATTCATATTATTTATTTGTTTTAGATATCTATGTAGTGTACCGTCCGTCTTCCTTGAGAAAGACATCAAGTTTGTCACAAACACACACACACACACGCATACATAAACATAAACATAGGTGCGCTCACACACAAACACACAGACACACAGTCTGTGTGAGTGTGATGATTCTGAAAAGACCAACTTTCCGTCAAGATTCGAAAAAAAAAATACAGAAAATTAAACTCGGAATCGTTGAACCCATTAGCGAATTCACGTGTTTTTTGTATAGGGAACTTCAATAAATGTAATTTTTCTCCTAAATACGTAAAATGTTTCTATTCATTTATTAGTAAATATTTTATACAGTTTTCTTGTAGTTTCGTATTGGCACTAGCGCCACTTCGAATAACGATGCAGAAGAAAAGTCTACTGTAGGTGTTTCTGTTTCAATTATATTCATGATCACTTTGGCAAAATACTGTGATTGGTGGTAGAAGTTTTGATCATGTAATACATAGAGTAAAATAGTTAAAATTAACTGTTTGTTCAGCATTGATGTATTAGCAGTATTATAGTAACAAACACTTTTGCATTTGATGACAATCAAAGGAACGACTTGTGTAAGATGAAAACGTTCATTTGGCAACTTCTTTCATTAAAATTACCTATATTTTTCAGACGAAATAAAATTCATTGTAGGTTATTGTAGTTATTTAAAATAACACATTTTTATATATTATTCGCACTCTGCAAAATTATCACGAATTCATCTATGTATCTGGATAAATAACCAAATAGTTTAACCCGATATCACCAATCAACATAGGAAGAAGAAATTTCACTTTTTGTTTATGTTTTGTTAGGATAATATTTTGGATAAAACCTAAAACCTCGAAATGAACTCAGTAATTCTAAAATCCTGCAGGCTTTGTCAGAATAGTTTAGGCGAAGTCTTCATCGATGAAAATCTTGGACGTACAATATTGAACATAACAAAGATACAGGTTGATAGTTAATATTCTAAAGTTATAGATTCTCACCCTTTTCCATCAAACCGCTTGCATTCCTTGGCACATTTCAAACAATATCTTTATCTGTGGCAATAAACTTATTTCATTTTAAAATACAACTGATATTAATTTTTTGTCTTTTATACTTTGTTTAAGGGAAGGTGAATTAATTTTTTCTGTATCTTACTCCTCACAAACCAATTATAAATGAAGGAAAAATTGAATGGAATTTTTTTTACTGGAGTCTAATAGTTTGCTTCAATCGAAACCCAGTTGCATGCTAGAAAATAATATTGATATGCATCTTCCAGATATCTGAAACACTCGCAAGATTCGAAGAACCATAGTTTATCTGAAAACTGGTCAACCACCAAATGAAAACATTGTCTGCTGTTCATTGATATTCATATATTCCTGATTTATGGCTATCTCCAAGGCGTTCATTGTTTTGTTTTCATGTTTAACCATTATGTTATATAAAGAAAGGATCAATCACCTGACATATATTTTTACATCATAATGGAGAAAAAGAAAACCTGAAAAGGTTGTTTTTGAAAATAAGAAACTTATTCAATGGCAAATATTTTAAAATTGGTGAAGATTTCATATGTATTCCTCTTAAAAAATGGCTAATGAAAATGAGTCGAATCACATATCATTCATCTCTTCCCAATATGACCTTCCAGTGTACTTTACAAAAAATAAGATATCGTGTTCAACAATTCTTTAATATTACTTTTTGATATGTCTGAAAAAACCTCAAGAACAGTTTAACTTTCTGTTTTCAGGTTAACAATGAATTATATTCAAGTATGCCACAAAGTATTTGCCTGCTTTGTCTCAATATACTTAAAGATACTCAGATCTTCATAGATATGGTTCAAAAAGAGAACGAAAATTTGAAAAAAATTATTACAGTAAAACATAACGCAGAAGCTCTTGCGAAAGTATATCCTAATATAGAAAGTGATTCTAGTAACATTGAGAAACAATTGAAAGATAGCGAAAGAGAAGTTCAAACCTCCACTGTACATCCCAGGAGGAAATGTACACTAAGGTGTTATCCTAAACATAAAAAGGGCGACCAAAAACTATTCTGTCAAACATGTGATGTACTATTTGAAGATACATTAATAAAACAAACGCATCAATGTAAAAAAAATTATCAACAATTTGTTGAAAGCAAAAATAGTACCAAAAGAGACTCAAAGAAAGAAACTGGTAAGTAAATAAGTGTGTTGGTTTTGTATTATTTACATATTAGGTCCAAAGTAAGTGGGTCTGTTCGATCCTCCTACAATATAAGAGGCACACACAATTATTTAAAGTCCAGCTTGATAACAAAGCCAATATTACTTTATTTGGTGATCGATTTTTCAGCCAGTAGGCAAGGGTGAGACTCCACCTCACACTAAAAGCCTGATCTAGTCTGTGCTGGGGCGGACTTAGAGTATATATACTCTGCTACCAGGTCCTGAAATTTCCTTGTGAAGAATAGTTGACTTCAAATTTGTCATATTTACTTCAATCTACTAGTGAGTACCTGGTCAACAGTCAGTCTGTGACTACCTTCATCTGGTGGTATGCAACACAGATCTGTGGCTTGAAAAGTAGATCTGAGATGCATTTCAGAGAGTAGCCCTTCTATGGCTGTAGCATATTAATTGCCCCTAACACTCGAGTAACTCTCTCCTGATTCTCACAGGTATTCTGTAGCTATCCAGACGGAAATATGCAGTCATAACGGTATACTGAAGATGTTTCAGAAAAATGGGTTATATTGTGGTTGTCAGATGTTCAAGATTCCCACCCTGATGTCCACAGCCACCTTTCAATATGAAAGGTTCTGTATGTCAGCTGAACCTGACAATACATTAAGTTCACCCATGCAGTTTGGGTGAATCATTATTTGAGAGTGGGCGTTTGCTGACCTGTTCAGAGAGAATTCTTTCGTCTCCTGATAAAGATTCTGCTTCTGCTGCTCGAGAATTCAGTGCAAGGCAGATTCAGGGGATATACTGATCTTGAGGAGGTAACCGAGTCCTTCCGTAATTGACCACCTAGTGTCATAGGTTTGTTAACTGGACCATGATGCACAATTACAAGAAAGGTCAGTTTAGGTAACAGTTGTTGTCTATTTCATCTGTCTGTTTCATTCGTTACTTTAGGATCCCTGGAGGATCTCATAAGTAGCTAAGGAAAAGAGGAATATCACTGCAAAGCCACACATTACTGTATCAAGGCTCTCTACAATAAGAGGGCATCCAGTATCTTGAACGTTTTGTTAGTGATAACTGTGGTCTCAAAATCATACACACTCTTTAGTATAAAACCATTATATGAATTACATTTAGTTATGGAGTAATTACACTAGGAGTGATCTCGTTATTTCCTTATCCTGCAGTGGTATTGTCGAAGCAGACACCAAATAGCTGAATTTGCTCATCATACCATAACCCAAGCTAAACACATATGCAAAAAACAGAAAATAAGCCAAATAGTGAAATGATGAACAAAGATAGTCCCCCCTGCCTATTTATTTGTAAACTATTGAAGTATCAAGTGAAGCTTCTTGTTGAAGTAGATATTCTGTACTTCTAACTTGAGGTCAATATGTTTATGTTTCAGATATTCCTGGAAATAAATTCACCAAACATGATGGCTGTGACCAAAACTTTGGATTAGAAAATAAGGATAACTCAAGCAAATGCAATTCTCCTGATGATGAAATGGTTCTAGATGAAAACTACTTGAATGATTTCATCCCAACACATCTTCTTGAGACAGAAAAATTGGATTGCAAGAAAGGAAATATTAAAAGGAAAAGGCCTTTTTTGTGTGTAACTTGTGGTAGGTAGTAAATATCTGTTAAATCATTATATGGATGAAACAATAATGAAATATTGAACGAAAGTCATCATCAGAGTTTTCATTGACTTTTTTTGGTATTTTCTCCTTCCACAATCTGAAATATCTAAAAATTGTAATGGTGGACTTTATACACCTATAGAAAGGGCAAACTTTTCAGTTTTTTAATTTATTTATAATTATGTCACAAATTAACCAGAACTAGAAACATATATTACAGAAAAAAAAATAGTTATATTAAAATACATTCTACAACTTATCACAAAACAGTAATGAAGACGTTAAAAACATTTATACAAAAATCTGTAACAGTGGACCTTGAATTTTGACAGATGAATACCAGTGAATTTGCAAAGTGCACCATTTGTAAATCTAGGTGAGATAGTGAGATATTGGGCCATTATATAAATAGTTAGTTTGATGGTATGGAATTGCAAAAATTTCAGGGTTTTCAGTACTTACTTTGGTTTAGGGCTCTGAAGGACAAAATACAAGCACTACAGGAAAATCCCTAAGTTTCTCTAAGAATTGTGCGAAAGTAGCAATTCACGTTGGATTTGAACCGCTGGAGATTAAATTCATTTGGAAAAACGTTCTCCACATAAACGTAGTTCTCAGTATGAAAGAGTTCTTAAACAGTGAAGTTCAAGGTGTACTGAGTTGAACCTCAAAACGATGAACTGCCACAGTCCGTCGCGTATTTCTGATATGTACCGCTCTTGATGGTGGAATCAAATGTGCCAGGTCACTTGAACACCTCCCGTGGAAGTATTTATAAAAGTGAGAGAACCTTTCTTTGATGTACCAGACTATCAAGGTTTCAAGTGATGTTCGTGTCTCCAATTAGGCGGATGGCTCGTTTCTGGATGGAATCCATCAGCTTCAGATTATGCTTAGAGGCCGAGCTCCATATATGAGGACAATACTCCAAAGAAGGTCTGATCTGAGATTTATAAAGCATCAAAAATTGCTGAGGTGTGTTTAGTTTTCTGACTCGGAACTGTTCCAAGCTTTTGAGAAGGAGCCTTTGCCAACAAACTCATCAAAGCAGAAAGGGGAATTATCTGACCTGACATTATTATATCCAGTTCGGATACTTTTATCTTTTTGGAGATACACAACAAAAAGAGGGTCCTGTGGAACACTAGCGTTGATGGTATAGGTATTCTAGAGATATCCATCGACTTCCACTTGCAGAGACAACAGATCCGAACAGTCTATGTCTAAAAAAGTAAAAAAATCAATTTAATCACAATCCAATTCGTGGATTCTCACATTTATCTTGACTCTTATTTCATCATTATACCATTGTTCTCTTGGGAAATTATGTTTATAGCCATGTACCTTAGAAATGTATTCTGTATAGCCTTGATTCTATCAATATGCACCTGATGAGATGGTATCCAAACAGAAGCATAATTTAAACGGGATTTTATTACAATGGGTTGATGATAATAGACACTTCTGTAGAATTACGTATAATGAATCTTATTCGTCTTAGACCTCTAGAGACTAGTTCATCATTATGGGACTAAAAAGAAAGCTTGCAATTGAAAACCACTCCTAGGTCAGTGTTATAAGTTGACATTTGCTGGCATTAAGTGATATTCCATTTTGAGCAGACTATAATGACGAGGTGTGAATGTCAGACTGCAGCTTATGGCAATCTTTGAGAGTGTCGATTCATAGGGAAATCTTGAAGTCGTCGGCAAAGAATAATAGTTTACAGTATTTATAAGATTTGGAAAGATATTTTGAAATCATAAATGGATATGGCCCAAAATAGGATTCTTGCTGAACCCTTCGCCTTCTTTTCAAACTTTTATTAGTTTTTGGGAAATTTTCAATAATCCCTATATAGGTATTATATATTTTTTCAGTACCTATGTGGATGTAATCATATACAGAGCAACCACAATTGAAATATTTTTTCATAATTTAGCTAATAATCAGTTGTTTGTTTTAAATTCTCTTTGCTGAAACGATATAATATTTTGTAATACCAATCAAATTGATTTTCTAGGAAAAGATTTCTCAACAAAAAATTCGTTAACTTGCCATGAAAAAATCCATTCTGCTGTTAAGGGATACAAATGTGATCCGTGTCAAGTAGAATTTTCTGTCAGGAGTAATTTACGTGCTCATATTAGAAAGTATCATGAAGGAGTTCGATTTTACTGCTCTCAGTGTACTAAAGAGTTCTTAACCAAATGCAGTCTGGATAGACATGAGAAAATACACACCGGAATAAAAGAATTCAAATGTGAACATTGTTCTTCTGCTTTTTACACCAATAAGGAATTGGTTAAGCACCAAAGGTATCATCAGGTGAGTTTCTACATATTTGAAATTGACAAAATTTGATTCAGATTTGTTACGAATTTTGTATCAACGGTTTGTATCTATTCGAATTCAGTTAAATATTCAGTTAAATTCAGTTGAATAATTACATTACATGAATCATATGAATATATTTACAATTTTCTTATTGAGTGGATGGAAGTCGTCAAAATTAGTGTCATAAATCTCCAATGATAACCAATATCATTACACTTTCAATATCTGTTTTCAGATTATTTCATTCTATTTTTCTGAACGCAGTAATGGATAAAATGAATATAATTTATGTCTCTAGTGTATAAAACTGACAAATCTTTGAACTATGTAGTTTTGGCAACTAAGTAACTAACTAGTTGAAGCTGGGATGATTCTGCAACGTTACATGACCGACAGGCTACGAATAGATATGATGCTCCACAGGTGGCTGGGGAGTTATTAACATTACATACATAGAACACATTAATATTGCCTACACAAAATACGAGGCTAATGATCAATGTAGTCCATGCCTTTGACATGAAAAAGTACAATATTTTAAAGGAGTCCCTAACAATGATGTAAGAAGTAAAATAAATTTAGGTGTTACTTCTCTCTAAGTGATGCAACTTTCTGTAATTACTTATATTCTAAGTAGGTACGCTAAAATGCGTTTATGAATTATTTGGAGTGAGATCATCACTGTATGTTTATGAATGCAACCCAAAATAATAAGGATTTTGTTTGCAGAAAATGAAATTTGTTCTACTTGGCATATGTACCTAGTTGACTTTTATTGGGGTTATTCTGAATTTCATTTGCTGTTTTCATTATATTCATTTTCCAACTGACAATAATGTCAATTAAACAAAGTAGTCAACTCAAACAAAGGGCATGCACTTCAAATTTGAAAACAGTTTGAATTCGATTTGACCTTGAATTTCAATTTTCCCCCTTCTGCCTTGGGTCGAGACGCCGCCCTCAAGTGTCAAAAGTGTCCTTTCTGTTTGTTTTATCTTCCGTGATAGCGGAGAAGAAGAAACAAAAATGGCTGACGAAAACGACAATAATGATCGTACTGAAAACGAAAATCAAAAGACCGAGAAAATGTTTTCTTTGAAAAAATGGAACGCTGTGGCAATGTGGAGCTGGGACGTAGAATGTGATACGTGTGCTATTTGTAGGGTTCAGGTCATGGACGCTTGCCTTAGATGTCAGGCAGAGAGCAAAAAGGATTCCTATGGAAAACAAGACTGTGTGGTTGTTTGGGGCGAGTGTAACCATTCATTTCACTATTGTTGCGTGTCTCGGTGGGTGAAGCAGAATAATAGGTGCCCTCTTTGTCAACAAGAATGGTCTATCCAACGAATGGGAAAATAAAATGGTTAGAATTGATTGTACATTGCTGAGAGAATTCTATCTTTTAATTTCGAAATTAGATTAGAAACCACAATGATATGTAGCCTTTGAGGCCAACATTTTACTTAGGGCAAAATCATGCACTCTGTCTCAAGTCGCAAGTTTTGAGAAATCGTGAGCAGTTTGAATTTAAGTTTTCAGTAGCATTACCTATATTATTTTCTATTTACGATGTTATTACATTCGAGAACCAATTGAAATATAGTGAAATATTTTTTCACACTATGGTCCATAAATTAAAATTCTGAACAAAATACGAACGAGAAGTTTCGATCTTTGCCCAATTTATTAAAGTGTGTGCAAAGTTGGGTCAATCTCTTTTCTCTCGTCAAGAGATTTTGCCTAAACAAAAGCTAATCGGTAAAAATGCCAAGTTGGGTTTCTATATATTTTTACTGTGATAAACAAAATGTATTTTGTGTATTGTCATACTTGAATTATTCGGAAATATGTAACCTGAATTGCCATTAACATTATCACTGAAAAGTTGAAATAGCTCTTCCACACATTTCATTTTATGCAGCATGAATTAATTTACCATTACATTGAGTCTAGGTCAAGTTTCGACTCCATAATGTTAATGTTTTGACCTTTTGCGCATTATTAGCACATTTCAATGTAATCTTGTGTTCTGTCATTCCATGTAATTTCTCTCAGATGTAGTGGATAATATTTGAGCGATATTAAATTTGTTGTTTATCATTGTTATATTAAAAATGTATGTCATTACTCTGAGAATAAAATCATTGTCAAAAATTGTGAGTCCATATCACGTGGTGAAGTGAATATGCATGCACTTAAAATTTTTCAATTGTGTTGCACGCGATGGGATCGAAATTCTTCTTAATGATAATTTAATGTTTTAATAAATTTGGCTTCATGTTTCTGGCCTAAGTTTCATTCCGAAATTAAGTTTTCACTTCAGAAAAAAATTTAATTTTTTTTATATGTGGTGAAAAGTCACCAAACCGACAAGCTGCTAATATTTTCATTGAGCAACATCTAGAAATAAACATTGAATTTAGAACTGGGTCAATAATAATGGCAAAATTCAAACAAAGTGCTTCCATGTAAAATCTTTAAAAAAAAATATGTTAATTTGAATGTTGTTGAAAGTGTAAAAACCAGTATCATTCTAAGAAATCCAACATATCTCTTATTTGAGTGAAGAACTAAGATGAAATAATAATCCTTATTGCACAATTTTCTAGTTTTTGAAACCTATAAATCTAATTTTGATTGAGCAAGTATAATTTTGTAGAACTTAGGGAAATTTTTGTACTTGAGGGTGTTAGTGTGTTCAACAAATGATGTTGGCATCAAATGACAAACAGGTGATCTATACAGTTGAATGTGAAATATTTGTTTGTTTACTGCTTTAGGGTAAGATACTATTCCTAAGTGAATTTGTGAGAATATTGGTTTTTTAGTGTGATTATTATTAAGGTTAGAAATATACTCTCTTTTTTAGACTGTCCACTATTTGATTTAGTTATACATTTCTAGTTGAAATGGAGTAATAGAGTATTTTGAATTATATTAAGAAACCTAAAGCTTCTAAATTTCTGTGGATAATATATGCATTCGTACAATAACACATAGATATTTAAATGTCTTCACCACCTCACATTATTCAATTTTTACTTGAGATTGACTTTCCAAAAACCTGTACTCTCCGTCTTTTCCCCACGAACAATTTTTTTTATATCTATTTTCACTTAATTGATTTCAATCAAACCATTGTTTTTCAGGGCCTGAAACAACATAAATGTGAAGAATGTTTCAAGACTTTTTTTGAACGGCATCATTTGATTATACATCTTAGAAGTCACAGCGGCGAAAGACCCTATGTTTGTAATATTACAGGCTGCGGAAAATCTTTTGTGGAAAGCCAAAAGTTGAAACGGCACCACAAGGCTAAGCATACTATAAAATAATGATACCTTCCAATTATTAAAGTAATTGAATTATGTAAAAAGTATTGTACTGACATCCTGTTTTTCAAAAAGCAACTTTAGTTGAAATTTCAATATTTTTATTTTATTCTTTTAAAAAATATTGTGCTGTTGAAAAAATGAGATGAATTTAAATTTTTCTCAAAAAAATATTTATTTATTCATCAATTTCTTATTTTTTCCCCATCAAAGTGGTTCCCCTCAGATATAATACACTTATGCCACTTTTTTTTCCAATTCTCGAAGCAGTTCTGATAAGAACTTTTTGTATATCCTCGAGCTCTCTCAGCGATTCGGTTTTTATCTTCTCAATCGTCGCAAAACGCCGTCATTTCATGGGTCTCTTCAATCTTGGGAACAGAAAAAAGTCGCAGGGGGCAAATCTGGTGAATACAGTGGCTGATATGATATCAGTGTTGGCCAAAAAAAATTAGGAACAAGCAGTGACGAGTGAGCAGGTGCATTATCGTGATGCACACGCTATGAATTATTTTTCTACGATTCCGGACGTTTTCTTCGTATTGCTTCTCGCAAGCGGCGCATAACTTCCAGATAATACTCCCTATTGACCGTATGACAATATGGCCAGAAGTCCTGATGCGCTACGCTACGGTAATTGAAGAAAACAGTGAGCAAAACCTTGACATTTTATCAAACTTGGCTTGCTTTTTTTGGTCCTGGCTCTTCCATTCGGACGATTGGACTTTGGTTTTGATGTCATAACCGTATATCCAGGATTCGTCATCAAGCAAATCTGGATCGCCGTTGACATCATTCAAAAATTCCTGAGCAATGATCATGCGACGATTTTTTTGGTTAAAATTCAGCAATTTTGGAAAAACTCTGGGAATAGAAATGTTGAGAGTACCCTGTATAATTTGTCTGAGATTCTCTAAAATGTTTCTCTCTATATTTCATTTATTTTTCAATTTTTGTACCTATTTCATAGTACAAAGAGTGGAGGGTCGAATAGAACTACTCTGGAGATTTCACTACAATCCTCACTGGGTGTGTACTGAAAGAGGTGGAGTTTTTTTAATGTATGAAAATATGTATACGACTGTTGCAGTTGCGTTTTTAACTGTATGAAATTGAATTACTTCTACTAAGTCTTTTTTGATATTTTATGGGTTTTTGAAAATTTATGAATACAAGTCACCCAACTATTTAATTGGACTTTTCAGTAGTTTATATGACAGTAACTTTTCAGTTTACTCTTCATTAACCTGTAGCAGATTCTCTATGAATTTAGCTGTATTTTTCAGATTGTCTGTTAATGAATCAAAAAAAACTAAGAAACACTACTACTAAAAAGGAGTCATCAATTACCATGAAGTTTTCACGTGGAAAAACTTCTAAGAAAGTACATAAACTGAAGAGAGAAAAAAAAAGATGATGTATTGATTAAATTATCAATATTGGGTTAAGGAAATTGTCACGGTGATTCTCCATATTAGTTGTTTATTTGATTTCAAATTTTCTGGCAAAAATAATAGGCGAAAAAAATCAAATCTCCTTAAATTGAATTCAATTATATGAAGTACTTATTAGCATAAAAAAAGTCAAAGCTTTAATTCACAACTTCAGAAGGTTTGAGAATCACTAGAAAAGCAGTTGATATGTCCTCCATGTTATCTCAAGAATTTTTTCCATAATTTTGTGTATGTACTTGACAGTGGGATGGTAGCCTGGTGGGTTGGCGTGGGTGATTTGCTCTACCCACTAATCGACCGCTGTGTGAACCGGTGGTTCGAACCGCAAGGCCGGACGATCGATTTTCACTCCCTATCGTCCAACCCGTGTTAGGAATTACACGTTGAAAGGTAAAACATGCTTAGCTCGCACAAGTTTTGACTTTTGAGAGTTGTCGTTCGTAGGGGGGCGACAGCTTGTTAACTGAAAAAACAACAGAAATGTTCATTAAATACACACAAGAAGGATAAACGTCGCCTAACCACTCAAAATTCTTTTCCGCCAACATAAAATTCCATTTTAATTTCAATTCAGTATTGGAAGAATATGGTTATAATATATCTACTGTTTGATTGACTGCTCTCACTCGAAAAGTTTGTAATTGTCCAAAACAGTTGTCTTTCATATATGTTTCAAGAAAAAATCTCTAAAAACAGATTTAAATCCCAAAAAATGAGTTAAGATCCAATACTTGAATTTCAAACTTTTATTTTGTGGACAGATTCTCTAAAACTGAAAGAAGTTAAATCATAAGTCATATTTTCTGTCAGATCTGGTCACCAAGTTTGCCTTGTGTTCCGTGAGATATTAACCCTTTCAGACCCGAATTTTGGTTTGAGTTCAAAAAAATTATTTTTAGGGGTTTTCCAACAGAATAATGATCCATAAGGGTGTTTATTCACTTTTTTATTTTTATTTTACATTTTTTCAAGAAAAAAAACCATGTCCATTATAATGGACATGTAGACCCAATACTAAATACGGATATCATTGGATTGAATAGTTTATTGGTGATTATTTCTGAAACAATTTCTATCTTTGACAAAACAGAGATGAATTTTACATTTGATACAGTAAACATGAGTTTTCCCTTTACAACCAGGATATTTGCATCTTATTGCTTCTTTATTTTGGTCCATTTCTGGCATATGATCCTTGTGGTCTGTCTGAATTTCGCGTAGGGGCCTCACTTCAGTATTTGCCTTTTTGGGTAGGACATGGGAAACTGGTGGACTGGAAGAAGGTCGCCCAACTTTTCTTTTCAGATTTACAGGACGATTTTGCCTCATCAAACACTCTGCTATCCGCATTTTGAAGTGTAAGGAATCCATTATTTCATTTTTGGCTACACCCATAGCTTGAGCGTCTTTTTTATACTCTAACCAGCTGTTAGTGCAAACTAAATCTACTGCATGAAATATCATGCGTAGAGTCCATTTTCTAGACTTTATAAAAATTCGATAATGACTAACCATCTGGACGCTGTATTTCTACATAAGTCTTCCCCGCTTTATCCCAACGTTTTACCTTATCTTCATCTCCCTTGCCTACAAAATTAGATCCCATGACCACAGACCTATTATCCAGCCATTTACATAAAACTATGCCATCTTCACTTACGACCTCTTCACTGTATCCTCTGTCTTTTTTTGTAAAAATATTATCTTGGCTTAGTGGTGGTTTACTGAAACGAAATTGTTTTCAGAATTGTCATTATTTTCTGTTCCTATGTTTCCTGTTATAAATTTGTACTTTAGAAAAGATCCTTTCTTCCAGTTTATATCCAATTTCTTGGTAACTTTCATTTCTTTGCTGCTCTCGTTCTGTTCTCTTTCTGGTAACGCAATTGTCTCGGGTATAAGCTCAATATCTCTTCCTACCACCCTTGAAATAGCTGGTATGTCATTGAACGTTGTTTCAATTTCCTGGTCACTGTCAGCTTCGGTGTCGGAAAACTGACCTAAAGAGCTCAAAACCTTCTCACATTCCTTTTCCAGATCGTCATCATCTAAAAGTAATAATAATATATCCGCATCCTTTGGATTTTCAGGGTCAAAGAAAGCTGAAAAAATATTGTACTTTAGACCAGATGTCCATTCTAATGGACAAAAACACGTATACAGCTCTACATCAAAACCTATTTTATACACATTCATCTATCTCTATGGAACGGTTTTAGGAGAAAAAATTTAAAAAAGCGCCAAAAAATCGAATTTTACTTACCTTTGGCGGAGCGTGATGTTCCCGCCATGATAACTGTCGTATTATAATCATCATATATTTCACAAAAACATTCATAGATGGTGCTGCGTGCTTAATTTAGACTAATAAAGGATACAGTGGCGTAGTCGAGCCTTCAGACAATTAAATAAATTATTGTCTGTCCTTATTATAAATAATGAAATGTATGTCCATTATAATGGACGCCGGGTCTGAAAGGGTTAAATTCTTGGTAGCTATTATATTGAATCAGGCCTAAACAAGCTAATAAACATGACCATCAAAGTAAGACGATATTCTTCTGAATTTTTCATATTCCGAGTAAGGCAAATATCTTCTGAAATAGGAAGAAAACGGTTGAAATATTGAAATTTTGCTTTTGAAATCCCAGCAGACAAATCCCAAACTATTTTTTCAAAACAGTATTCTGATTATATTGAAAATGAGTATTCTGATTATATTGAATTCCTTGGTGAATTGATTGCTCCAAATACACACATCTGTCGTTATCAGATCATTGAGTCTACTCAGGGCACATGATTTAGGTTATCAAAGTCTAGAACATAAGGGCCTGAACGGTCCAGTTTTCCTTTTTTTCTATTCTGATTATACAGAGTAGGTATACGCCAAAAAATCATCAATTTTTACAATCTAATGTCCAATTGCACGATAGTTGTAGAGAAAAGAATGAATATAGGTATACTTGTTTTATAAAGAATGGTAATCTTCTCCCTTAATTTTGCCACCCACTTGAAAAAGGACGATTTAAAATAATTGCGACTCCTCTTCATTCATACAAATTGAAATAGGGTTATTTATTGAAATTAGGTTATTTATTATTATTCTGTTGGTAAAAGAGTGCCATCATAATGTTTTGCAAATTGTTCATATCATGCTTGATATTATCATTGCGTTTTGTATCCATGTAATATATTCCAGTAGATCTCTTGTGAATTCCTTTCAAGAGGATATGAGCCAGAGAAAATGAGAAGCAAATATTTGGAAACTTGTAATATATCATAGATAGGTTATTAATTATTTTTCGTACTGGCTGTGTCATGTAAGATCCTATAAATATTTCATCTTAACAAAATTCACTCTGCCCAAGTGTTACTGTTAGATTGTTAACCACTCTTGTTACCAAAAATTTGCTGGGCAACTTCGTAAAAACCTTGAATACTCCTGCTATACCTAATTCTAGAAGCAGTGAATTCATGCTCATTATATCTGTCATTTGTCAAGAATGATCAATATTGTCACTTTCGGGAATAACTGTTGTAAAAAAACTAATCAATATAGTTTATTGTATGATTTTCACTATAAAAGGGTTTTACAAAAACCGCGACACGTGTCGATTATTTTTTTAATATGAATTTTCATCAAGTATCGGCCAGTTCTATTCAATTAATAACTATTATTTCTAAAAAGCCATAAATCGTATTGTATCCTTTATCTTAGTAGTTTCAAAACCGCCGGACTGGCAAGGCTGTCAGCTGTTAAATATCTGAAATGTAATCTATTTACTGAAAAGTTTGCCACTTACGAATATGGATCGTTTAACGAAAGAAAACGGGTAAAAATTGTTAAAACTTTCTAAAAATGTGATGATTCAAACGTGGACACTTTTCTAGTATTACGGGGTGATTATGGTCGTCATAGTCGCGGATAATCCCCTAACGTTAGAGCATTCGAAAACCAACATTCGTCAAGTTGTCGCCGAGGTAATTCCCGAAATGTGCGGAAACTACCTCAAAAGGATCGACTACTGCGACTAATCAAGAGGCGGTCATATAATAAACATTGTATTTAATACATAATGGCAAGGTCCAAGTATTAATGATGAAATAAAAAGTGTCAACGCTTCATGTGTCTTTTATTCATCTTTACTTTCAAAACTGAAAAATGGATGACCACTTAACACTGAAAATGTTCAATATGGTGGCTATTCTGTTTATTAACTATAAATTTGTTTACATCTGTTAGAAATAAACATTGCAAGGAAAACTATATATAATTAAGTTATAATAATTCAATGTCGTAGTGTACATAATCAACATATTCCATATTTTTTTCAAAAATAAAACCCACAAATAAATGAATAAAATTCAATCTTAGTGGTCGATTTTCTGGAACTCAAAACCGCGTCTTTAGGCGTCTTTATATGGTGCAAGAATTAGGCATTAATTCAATGAAATGAATGAAAATATGATCATGAATTTCCACAGAATAAGCAAGTCATCAATTACACAAATTAGGCATTACTAAGTTCCAAGAGATCCTTGAAATAAGTTGGTGCAAGTTGCCATGAAAGGCAAAGTTCCGCGTGTGTTAAGCTTGGTAGCTTGGTTTGTGAAATGGTGTACAAAATTTATTATCAGATGTCTGCTTCAACGTTGCACCGCTGATTATGTGTATGACTTTAAGCTCATCAGTAATCACAAAAAAAATACCTTCGAGATTCTGGACGCCTTCTCGTCATAGAAAGCTTTGGTACGTAATGTGGAGTTCAGCTATGGATCTTCTTTCTCTAGCTACTATTACCTGGCTGGACTCTAAATTAAACACAAATGCGAACCAAACTCTTGAGTATCAGAAGCGGCAAATCTACTTCCTAGGAGAAAATAAACTGCCACGGTACAGATCTGCGTGACTGAATATAATGTATTGTCAGGTATAGAGCTGACTCACGGATATTTTTTATGAGCAGGTTGCTACGGTTATTAAGATGGGAATTTTGTACCCCGGCCATCTGACAGCCTCGATATCTACCAATCGATTGGAATCACTTCAGTATGTCATTACGGTTGAAGATATTCCAGAATATGGTCCGCAAGTACGATTCCAAAGATGCGTATTCCGGACTGGATGACTACAGGTCACTTGAGAGGATGGGGAGAGGGTCTCTTGGCTGGTGGGTGGAGTTAGTACCTATCCTGCAGCCATAGGAAGGCGCCTTTCTGAAATGCGTCATAGGGCACACAGTTGTGTTGCTTACAACTTTATGGAGGAGGTCTTAGATTGGCCACCGATCAGGTTCTCACTAAATTGAAGAAAATGAACTCTCAATCTTGGAATATTATTCTTCACAAAGTAATTTCAGACTCTGGTCTCACTCTTACCAGCTGACCTAAAAACTAACTCGTCAAGTAACTAAATGGCTTTGTTGTTACGAAAGTGAATTTATTTGGTTGAGTTTTGATAACAGATATGAGCCACAAAAAATACTCTCGGATTGTAGTGGAGGGTCTAACAGACCATTTGCAACTACTCGGCTACCTCTTCTTACCGCCTATTCCCTTCCAGACTGAATACACCTGAAAATTTACGTCTAAATACAGTTGAAAATTTTGTGGAAATCAGTTAAGTAATAGTAATCAAAATGTATTCAAATAAGAGGGCCAAATTTTGAGAAGAAGTTGTCAAAGCTGTCAGTAATATTATAGAAACAACTGATTGTTTTTACGTGTAACACAATTTGGATACTTTATAGACCGTTGTCGAAAAAGTGTTGCCTGTTCTATGCTGGTAGATTCGATTCAAGTGGATAAATTGTCTCCCACGATATTATTGATTTGAACAAAATTATTACAGATTTGAAAAGACGTTCGTAGTCGAAAGAGGAAGTTGATGAAATATATTGTTTACATGTAGGTAATTGATGACTTCTTCATTATTGAATATATGCGTGCGATTAAGATAGGAATGTATATTCCTATCTTTATCAATCGCCAAATCTTTTTGAACTGGAAAGGTTATCATGAATTTTATTCTAAACCAAAAAAATATACCGGAGTTAGGGGCCTTTTCCACCTGTCAAATTTGCCATGAAACTGATTCGTTATTTAACAATTATCGCACTTGCATTGTTACTGCCTTAGTAGGAAAAAATTGTACATTAACTACTACACTACTACTGCACTACTGCAGACTATTGTTCATTCATTTATATAGTAGGTATTTCTGATTCACTGTTTGGAACCTTTGGTGTAGTAATAAATATTACTAGAGTTTAGTCCCAACACCAAACCGTTATTTTCAACACCTCGACACGTGTTTCGATCACCAAGTGATCATCTTCAAGAGGAAGATTGAATGCCTCTTTCCTCTTGAAGATGATCACTTGGTGATTGAAACACGTGCCGAGGTGTTGAAAATAACGGTTTGGTGTTGGGCCTAAACTCCAGTAATATTTGTATAGTAGGTGCCTGATTTTTTCAATTCTCAATTTTGATATTTAATAAGTTGAAATAATATTTTTTCATTGAAGGTCCATAGCTGACGTGTTTTACGCAAGTCAGAGTACTCGTTTCAGTACGAATCTTCAAACCTCTCGGAAAATTATGAATATTGTTCCCACAGTTCAGGAATGTGGGACTTTTTTGGAAATTCCCTCCTCTTTTTGTACTTTTTTTCAAATTTCAAACAGTTTTGAGATAGAAATTTTTTGGCTTTCTACTTCTCCATCTTTATACAAAAAAATGTGGGAATCTTCCAAAAATTAGTTTCTCCTACAAATATATCCCTTTCAATTTGAGATATTTGCGTAAAACCGAAGCCTATTATTTTCAGTTAATTGTTTATAACTTTTTGCAATTTTCGCAAGCGGAATTTTTTCAAAAATTATCTAAACGCTATTCCGAATCGAATGACACCTCGTTCATTGATTTCGGAGGCGGAAAAAAGTTTGACCTGAAAGGCATTGGTGAACTAGATTAATAATAATAATAATAATAATTTATTCCCCTCTTGTTTTACATCATTGTACATATGACACAGTGCAGAAGAGTATTTCGAACGAGCATTTTGAAAAACGGATCGTACTTGGCTACGGTCTTGAAGAAATATATGTATAGTGGAGAAAATTTAACATTCCTACTTATATTAGAGGACACCTTGTACTATATCGAATGTTTCAGAAGTCAATCAACAACAATAATATATTTCACGTTTCAAGACTCCTATTAGAATGTTCTTTCGGGCTCTGTAATATGAAGGAAGGTCTTGAGAAGGAACTAGACATCATCAAAAAAGATCTTCAACGGAATGGTTACTTCAAAGCGATGGTAGAAAAGACTGGCTGAAAGACAGCAACAGCCTCACAAGGAAGTGATGCCGCCACAACCAGTGCTTGCACTGGTCAGAGGATTATCGGAAAGGATAAGAAGAATTGGTTCCAAGTACAACATCAGAACCTGCCTCAGATCCGGTAACACTATCCGTAGCAGCCTCACGAAAATCAGACCATCAAACGCGGACTGCGATTCCAAGAATTGCATTTACCGGATACCCTGTGAGTGCGGAAAATCCTATATTGGTGAAACTATAAGAGGCCATTGAATGTTCGCATTGACGAGCACAAGAAACACACACACAGCGAGGGAAAACCAGCAAATCAGGAATAGCAGACCATGTTTGGACCCATCAACACAACATCGAGTGGTCCCAAGCTGAGATCATACACAGAGAGGAACATTGGTTTAGGAGAAAATTCAAGGAAGCAGCATACATGTTGTCCAACAACGTATTCAGCCAAGTTAACGTAGAGATACGCAACGTATGGAAACCTATCATCAAGCGAAAAATGGCCAACTCCCGCCAAACGGTCATCTCCCACTAAACCAGTGAAGCGGAAAATGGAAAGCAGGGATAAGTGACAGTACTCGAACGACCTATAAATAGTCATCTCTCAAAGATGACTATTTATAGTTCAGTCATCACCCGAAGACAATTGTAGATACTAACAATCGAAACGTCGTGAACTAACGTGGCTT